AAAAGAACCTGAAACTTTTGTAGTGTAATTCCCTAATCTAGAGATTGAAAGTAATTTGTTTGTTATTGGTTAATGCATTTGCTCAATAAATTATTCACTCTACAAATATCATGTGCGGGACCAAGTACTGCAAGCTGAGAATAGAGGAGGGAGCTTACTTCAAAGTGCTGTAGAATGTGCCTAAGCTATGGTGTTGTAACCGAGCAAACAGGCGCCCATCCATGAGGTGCCTTGGTGAATCACTCAACAATTAATGCTGGAAGAAACCAGTATTTATTTACAATATTCCAACCTTGGGGGGCTCAGAGGACTTAGGCTCAGAGCCCTCCTTTCCAATGAGACCCAGCACTTCCCTTGTTCCCTAAAAGGCTGTAAGCCAAACCAAGCCCAGTAGATCCCCACTTCTTTATCTTAAGCCAAATGCTCAAACGGTTCTCCAGTTTCTCTGGAAGGTTCCAAAGTCTCTATCCTCATGCAGCAGCTCTCCCCTTCAGGATCCGGGATACGTTGTCATCCGCCTGTATGTTATAGTCCAAAAATACATGTGCCTTGTTACATTGGATCATGGTGAAGTCCAGGAAAGACACAAGTCCCATGAGCCCAGATAGAGTCCAGGTTTGCAAGGCAGCAGGTCAGCGTCTTGCAAGGCAGTTCTTGGGGGCTCCGGAATGCACTAGAATGGGCACAATCAAAGCAGCACTAGCCCCTGGTGGACCAGCTTCTACAGACCACATGGACCCTATCTCACTACCGGCAGACTGCCGGAATCTACCTCTGTCACCCGTGGTTCTTCCTCCTCACTACTCACTCCCTCGGGTGGCTGTCCACCCTTAGTTTTATATCCTGACCTGGAGCCTCCTGCATGACCTCATCTCCAGCTTCTCCCACAATGAGCTACATCCGCCAGTTTCCCAGTTCCTTTCTACCTTCTCTCGGCTGCCATTCTTAGGGCAAGCAAGACTCAGTGATCCAGGGGGAGCCACGTCCAGCCCCTGCAACCCGCCCCCCCAAGTCTTGAGTCAGGATACATTCTGAAAGTCACTTTACACCTTTTGCCCTGAGGCCCGAGGCAGTAGAACAGCGATTAGCACAGCTGTTAAACGAGTTGACAAGGTGCCATTGTAATGCAAAGTACCTTAATCCTGTCATCTGCTTTCCCCATCCCCCAAACCATGGGCTGTGGGGGTTTTCTCCTGTTTTCCCGGGCACCCCCTCCCTCTACCCCATTACAGTGTCATGCAATCTTGGATGACAATGCTTGTTGAATATTAGTCTTGTGACAAATCCCATGATTTCTATGACCTGTTTTTTTCATTTTTGAATGTGAAGAATTGTAGCTGTGTCACTACATGATTAAATGATTAACTGAAACACAGACACAGGCAGCTTTCACTTTGCACGGCACCAAGTTGTCTGAGCCATATCCCAAGTTGTGTGACCCCAAAATGCATGAGTTTAGTTAGCACAGCACTGTATACAAGGGCTGCCTGTATACACACACACACACACACACACACACACATTTATATGTAAAACTCTCCTGAGACACAGCAAATTCACAAAAGTGATACCTATCTTATATTAACCAAGAAAAACTTTGCAACTACTGTAGCTCTTTACAGTTCACTAGCCTCTCTTTTTGAACATTTTCACTGATAGTACAACTAATATTTTACTAAGACCGCACTCTAGTTACCTATGTAAGTTAACTCTACAGTAATTTGTATCCATTTGATTCTGGTACTGCCCTCAGTAGCTACGTAGTTCATACTGCACAATTAGTTAAAAGGTAGCATCTCTCCAGGGCTCAGAACTTTTCCAGCAGGTTCCATTTCAGAGCCAGCTACGGCATCACTGGCAGATTGGCACCTTTTTAACACAAAATCTCCATTCTATCCTTCAACCTGTGGTCTCCATGTCTGAGTTACAAAATTCAACAACCCAATAGCCTGGAGAGCGTCACAGAAAGGGCAGATTTGCAAGGACAGAGGCCTCCAAGAGTCAAAAGACTACCTAAATATTCCCCTCCCATTGAGGATCCTAGTCATCTGAGGAATCTGAGTTGCTAAATCAGTTAGATTAAGTCCCTGGGCTCTTAGATTGTGTGAATTAGCGTCCTGGTTCCAAGGTGTGCTTGATTTTTGTGTATTGGCAATTTATATAATCTGTCTCATTTTTCCCAGTTGCAAAAGGGGACAATAATAGCTATTTCATCACTTTCATTGTTAAGTTAAAATAATTATGCATAGTAGGTATGTAATATATTTCATCCATAATTATTAGCGGCACTAATGGTAGTTTAATCACTGAGGGGACTCATGACATTTATATTTCTTTGTGGACACAGCAACCCAGATTCTTCTTCAGCAAGCAGTTAAGTCAATTTGCTTAAGGCCATTCCCCTTCCAGGAGCAGCTGAAGTCAGATGACTGATAAATAGAGGAGTATAGTCTTGCTACCCTGGTCTGATTTTGGACAAAGCTCAAGGTCTCTTCTTGCTCCAGGACACCCCATGGAGTTGGATGAGGTTGTTTAGGAGGAGCTACATTGTATGTTTCTGTCCCATCCTACTTTCTCATCCCATCTTCCTTTCTTCCTGTCTCAGCCCCTCTCCAGCCCAACAGGAGTAGATTCCAAGTGCGCTCCTTAACAAGGATACTGCACACCAAATCCCACCTCCGAGTCAGCGTTACAGAGTACACCACCTCTCACAAGATTGTAAGATGAATAAGCCTTCTCACTCAGATGTTGCACATCATGGTCTGAGGCCATGACCTTCTGAGTTTACCTTATATCCATCAGTCTTTGGCATGTTCTAGGGTGTTTTGAAGGTCATAGTAACTCAATAGTTCTAGGAACTTGTCAGCCTCAGGGCATTTGCCAGGGCCTGGGGTACCAATCGTACTTCTAGTAAGGGAATAAAACTAAGGAAGGCCTTGACCATCTGGCTGGAAATACTCCCTGTAGCCCTGTGTCCGGTGTAAGTGTGACACTGGCAGTCCAGCCAGTAATAGATATCTTCCTTTCCGGTGATCAATCATTTGACCTTGGCCTCTGAGTCACAGAGGTTTGGGGGTGAGGTGGAAAACAGAGCTCAGGAGTTCCCCAAGGAGCTAGAGTGGAGCTCCAGATGTTGTTCCTGTGGGCGGTGCGGACTTGTCCACTGGTAACAGGTTGAATTGGTTTTGTACAAATATATAGATTTTAAAATTGCTAGGGATTTTATTCTTTCTTTTCAAAGAAATCCAATTATTTTACTCTTGCAGCTTCAGACTCCTACTCTATTTTATTATAATTTGACATATGCTGCCTACAATTTTTAATAGGCTTACATCTATATGTTCTTTTTGTATAATGTTAATATTTCTAAGTTCAGGCACTTAAATGCTTTTAAACAATGAATTACTCTCTTACTGGGTGACAATAAAAAAAAAACTTGGAAGGATGAGTGAATGAATTTTAAGGAAACAAAAATGAACTAATCCACATCACAGCCAAAGTTACCTTTCTAAAACACACACTTTGCTTAACGTCCTCCACTATTTTTCTTACTGTGCCTTAAAAATTGTACGTAATCTGTTTGGCTTCATGCTTTACTGTTCCAACTTCAGTATACACACGTACACACACATCACACACTTTTCAATTAGTTTCAGGCAAAGGTCAAATGTAGCGTTGTTTTAGAATACAAGATATTGTTTTCTCCACTTTATAGAGGCATTTTTTAAAAGATTTTATTTATTTATTTTTAGAGAAAGGGGAAGGGAAAGAGAAAGAGAGAAAAATCACTGTGTGGTTGTCTCTCGCATGCCCCTTACTGGGGACCTGGCCCACAACCCAGTCATGTGCCCTGACTGGGAATTGAACTTGCAACTCTTTGGTTCACAGACTGGCATTCAATCCACTGAGCAGCACCAGCCAGGTATAGAGGCATTTTTCATTTGGTTTCCTCTTAATTAGATATTGAACAAATTGATAAACTACTATGTCTGTTATCATGTTAGAAGAGGTAACTAATTTCATTTAAATTATCAAAATATATCATTGTATAAATTGGCTTTAGATATAGGTATATCCTTAGGTGAGGTGATATATTAAAGTTATTGCTTGCCTTGACACGTTTCTTATTTCTTCTTCGGAGTTTTACTTTAGGAAAGCCTAATTTTGATGAGTTGGTATACCAGAAAAGGAAGAGTTGTAGGAGATACTTACAGAATTATTTCTTTATATTGTCTCTGTAGAACCTGGGGTATGAAGAGGGAGTCTGTTATAAAGGAGGATATTAGAGACATTTCTGAGCCTTCATTGTACCTCTGCAAAGCTATGTATCTCTTTTGAATGTGGAAGACAGCCTACATACAAGCCAACCCCTCTCTTGATGAGAGGTTCCAAGGTGTCATTTTAAAACAGAGAAAATTTTTGTGTGATTATGTATAATACAACTCTGAAGACTTTAAAACTCTTTATCCAAGTAACAGAAAGAAGATTTTTCCAAATGTATTTTGCCCACTCATTTTCAAAGAACAATATGAAAAAGAAAATGAAAAAATATAAAAGAAAGGAATCGTTCTTGCCAAATGGGGAATCTGATCCCATTTTGCAAACTTCAAACTTGAATTGTGTCTATCTAGTTTTCAAAGCTGAATGCATCTATTATGGAAATTAATGTTTAAAGCAAACAGACAGCTTTGAAAAAGAAGAATTGAAGACTGTCTAGTTTTTCCCTTTTTGATTACCTTGATATTTTAGTTCCAGATTACAAAGTACTAAGTGAATTGAACTGAAATTCTGTATTCTATTTCGTGGCCTTGTATCACATGCTAACTTTGCTTCAAATAACAGCAGGCTTGTTTGTTTGTTTATAATACTCAATTTGTAACAGTTATTTTACTTCTTATAAAACATAAATGAAATGTATCTTGTATTAGTAATTGTCTTTAAAATGTTTTCTGATATTCTATAAATTAAATCTCCCCTTAAAAAATTTTGATCATTTATAGGGTAGAGAAGATTTCTTGAAAACACTCACTCGAGGTGAAGTGACTAAGGCAACGATGATTCAGGTGATTCTAATTTGCTGTTAATATTTTATTCTTCCTTTAATTTGCATTTTCCTTCGTATTTTAAATTTGTCTGTAATGAGGCATCTTTTCACTACTTGGTTTGCAAGCTAGCAGTTTCTTCTCCTAAGCTGATGACAGTTGCCTTCTGTGTACGACTAACAGTGTCTGGTCATGCATAGAGAAACTGACCTCCCATATACATATCTCATTTTGTGGCTTAATGGGAGTTTCTGCCAGCCTAGTAAAAGGGCAGCGGGATCTTATTCCTAAGCGTCTCTTCAGTTTCTTTTGTGATGATGTTACGTTTTCTTTACTTTAAGTGTCTTTCAATTGAATTTCTTTATTTAACCCTAAAATAAAAATATGCTATTATTTTTCTATGAAAAAAAAATGAGACGAAAGCATTGTAGCTAGTAAAATCATTTTTTATTTTTGTATCTTTATCTATACCACCTACATGTCCTTTGAAACCCAGGATGGGCATTTTGGTCCTTGACATCTTTCTAAAATGCCTCCCCTTCAAAAATACATAAATATTTGGAATTATTACTATAAGAAAAATAAAATCAAGGGGCAAAACAATCCAAAGCAATGTTATTTTTAAAAATTATTTGAGATTATGTGCGTCTCTTGCCTTCTTTGAAACAAACACAAATTTTGCAATTCTTTCCTATTAGGAAATTTGACATTTTCAAACTTATAAAGCAGTGTTTCTCTAATTCTATATGTTTGAAAATGTCAAATTTTCTAATTTATTTATAGATTTAGTAATTCTATAATCTCACAGCCCTTTTTACTTAGTATTTTGTTATTAAATCTTGTTCATTGGTTTTACTTGGTCTTAGATTTCAAGAATTACATATTCAGTTGGTCAAAAAGTTCCTCTGGTTTTTTTTCTGTCAGATGGTTCTAGTTGTCTTTAACTTCATTCAAAACAATTTTGTTAGGTTGTATGGTGACAGCTGTCATATCAGTGTGCATTAAAAAACACTTATCAAAATTGGTAAATTTTTGTGTAGCCATTTTAATATTGAAGGTGGAAGAAAATAAGCAACATTTTCTGCATATTATTCTTTATTATTTAAAGAAAGGTAAAAATGCAACTGACATGCACAAAAAAGGAGGTTTGTACAATATATGGAGAAAGTGCTGTGACTGATCAAATATGTCAAAAGTGGTTTGTGAAGTTTTGTGCTGGCTATTTCTCTCTGGAAAATGCTTCATGGTCAGGTAGACCAGCCGAAGTTGATAGCAATCAAATTGAGACATTAATTTAGAACAATCAACATTATACCATGTGGGAGATAGCTGACATACTCAAAATATCCCAATCAGTAAAGTTATTGGTGAAAATGATATGAACTTTTTGGCCAACCCAATATATTTCAATGTTTCTCATTAGTGTGCTCTCTAACCTTATTATCTTCTAATACCTAAGAATGTTTGATTTTTATTGTCTATTAATATTTTTCTCTCACAATTTTTCTAATACTGTGTCTACGTTCAAAATACGTTATATTCATAGCTATTGTTTCTTTTGTGGTGGCATTTATTTTTATGATTTTCAAGTAACAGCAAACATTCCTGCCTGGTGCAAGAGGGAGGCAATGAATGTTTAGGTAATTAATAACTGAATGAATTATTTTAAATCTTTGCTGGCAGAAAAACCTGTATGCTCTTCAAGAAAAATACACACTTGAAAAACAGGGCCTTTTGAAAAAGATAGTAATGCACTCCCTAATACTGGCAGAAATACAGTCATCTCTACTTCATATAGAAGCAGATGCAGCAAGGATCAGAGCTATCCACAATGAACAGTCTGAGGTAAGCATTTCTAATTAATTCAGAAATGAATTTGCAGGAATATTTAGGTTCATAAATTATGTATAAGATTTTATATTATTCCTTGGAAAATTATTATTCCATATAGAAAGTCATAAAATCATGGACAGAATAAATAAATTTCATGAGCACACAACTGATCTATAGTAACTACATAGAATAACTATTAATATTATTACCTGGAATCCTATACTGTATCTTAGAGTGTACTTATGAAAAGCAGTTTTTAAATAGGTGAGTAATGATTTATTTGGCATGATGGCCCACTATGGTACATTTAATTCAAAGTCTTCACTGTTCATTAATAAAATGGTAAAGCTATGTTTACTCAAATATAAAATATAATGCATCTTGACATTTTCATGGTACATTTTTGATGCATGTAGAAAACAGGTTGGATGAAAAATAAAGCAAGTGTTGATAAAATATTTTCAAAACAACAAGTTTATGGCACTAACTGATATTACTAGCCCTTCCCAAAGAAAAATTTAGTGGAAGAAATTTGTGTACATAATGTCATTAGTCTTTTGGAGAAGTAGAGGGTGTGGTAAGAGTTATATATTCTTGTCTTTGGCTGCAGAGAATGCATACATATTATTCATTTGGGCCATTTTGACAACAGAATTTTGTTTTTCATTGCAAATAATGATGTAACTTTATATTCTAGTCTTTACAAATTCTCAAAATATTTTATTTAAAAAACTTTGTGATTACAAACTGTTCCTATTATAAACTTTTTTTCTTTTTTATCTTCAAAGCCTCTCTATAGAATAGTCAAGAGACAGTTTATCTGTATTATTGACTTCAGAAAATTTAGGCCTAAATGCATGAAGCAACTGGTACGAGTCCATAAATCATGGAAACAACAAGTTCTAAGTATAATACCCTACTTAGGGCTACTAAATGCCTAGAGAGATTAATGATTATAATAATGACTTCTCCTTACATTAATGATAGAAATTTATTAATTGCATCAAACTCTCAGTATAATCATCTGAGTATAATAATAAATTCTAGAACAGATTAATGACTTTTATTTCCCCTTATTTTATAATAACCATTGTTTTATATCTTCTTGTAGGTTAGTAATCAATTTTGTTTTTTAATAGTTTATAAATTTAAGAAATTTTAACTTAGCAAAAACTCTTGGAAAGAATAGTTTATATACACTCTCTGTAATGATTACTGAAAATTTGTATTTGGAGTTTTAATGTTGCTTAAAATATTTTAAATATTTTGATAAAAATTTATAATTTCTATGTGAGTTTATTAGTGTTTTTGTTACTGAGCTAAAATTTTGATTAGATTGTTTTCTCAAGTAACTCAAATTGAATATTGGGATTGTGGATATCATAGTATGTTTTTGTAATTCATGTGTGGTGCTCCTTTCCCTTTATAACAAAATATATATTGTTATTATTAAAATAGTCACTTGGGATATATTTCATTTAAAATACGATAATTGAATTGTAAATGTTACGTGTCTTAAATTTCTGAATATCTCCTAGAAACTACTTCATATAATTGAAGAGAGAAACAAAGTTAAAAAAAATGTGGAAAGAACAAAGAAAAAATTGCGTAAAAAGGGGAAGGAAACTCAAGAAGCACTAATAGAAACTGAGGTAAAGAACTTAATATGAAAAAATTTTACATTTACATTTTATGTCAGTGAAAACTATTCAAGAAAAGTTAATTTTAGATGGATGTTTCTCATTTCTAATTGGTTGCACTAAACGGCTTCTCATGCTGTTACACGCGCACGCATGCACACACTGTCTCTGTGTCCATTTTCTCTCACAGCGTCTTCCCCATTGATCTAGTGTATCTTTTGCTACCTTTCCTACAGAGTAGAGGTATAAATCTGTAGTGTACTAAAAAGTGCCATGTTTCTATAAATGAAACCAATCTACATACTGAAAGGTTTGTTAATATCTGACATTTAAACATTTCCCTCAAACTGGTAGCTTGGCAGCATGAACAAATGGCTGTATATCAAAAGGCTTCAGGGCATTTTCCAAATTATATATATTTATTCCCTAAAAATCCTTGCATCTAATACTGTCTTTAGAGAGTGATAGGATATGGCAAAGTGGAAATAGTCCACTGCCTTTAACATGCTGTCCTCTTGGTATACTTTACAGGTAGCCACAGTAGGATTTGTGAGCGGTTAGCATGTAGGCTATGAGTTAGAGATGTGATTATATCACTTAAAAAAAAAGTTTGCACTGTCCTGGGCCACAAAAAACATTAAAAAAATTACCAAGGGAAATAATGATAATATTTATAATAAAATAATGGATTATTAATATGCTGCACATTTTCTATATGACAGGCATTGTTCCAAGGATTCAGACATATTAACTCTTTTCATCTTCATGCTAACTCTGTGAAGAGTGTGCTATTATCATATCCATTGTACAGTTGAAGCACCTGATGCCTTGTTTTTTTAATAAGCTTGTTCATTTTCATGTAATTCATTAGTGTTGGGTTGAGATTCACTGTATTTGGCGCTGGGCACTGGAATCTATGCTACTAACCATTACTTTATACTGGTCAAATCTTACAGGTTTCTGTTATTGACCACAGTAAAGTATAATCAGAACTCAATAATAGGCCCTGGCTGGTGTGGCTCAGTGGACTGAGTGCTGGCCTGCTAACCAAAAGGTTATCAGTTTGATTCCCAATCTAGGGCATGGGTTTCGTAGGGAGTGCATGAAAGCGCGAGATTCATGTATTTGGGCTGGGACTGGAATCTATGCTACTAACCATTACTTTATATGGTCAAATCTTACAGGTTTCTGTTATTGAAGTAAGTTAATCAGATGGTGTGCTAGTTGTGGCCTGCTCAGTTTGATTCCCAATCTAGGGCACATGCCTGGGTTGCAGGCCAGGTCTTCAGTAGGGAGTGCATGAAAGGCAACCACACGCTGATGTTTCCCTCTCTTTCTCCTTTTCTTCCCCTCTCTAAAAATAAAATAAAGTATTTTTTAAAAAAGAACTCGATAATAAAAAATATAGCCAAAAGAAAAAGAAAAAAAATATGTACACTACTGGAAATATTTTGTCACATTTATATTACTGATTTACTTCTGTGTAAAGGAATATTTAGAAATACAAATTACCATTGATTTATAAATGACTGGTGATAAATTACACAGCAAAATTGGGTCAAGATCATACTTTGGTATTACCAATGTATTATTTTATAGGAAAAGCTAAAAGTATTCAGCATATGTAATCAATATTAAGGGAAAAAATGAGAAAATAGAAATTAAAAAAAATTAAGAGAAAAATAGGAAAAATTAAGAGATGTAATTATATATAGAGGTGAAGGAAACAATGCTATTCTGCATAGCAATTTGTTTTAAAATCTACATTAAGTATATATTTCACTTATAAAATATAATTGATGAAAACTGGATGGAGAGAAAAAACCCAGCAATAAATCAATAATTATAAAATAAATTTAGTTCGTCCAAATTCTACCAGTAAGGCAAGAACAAGCCCAGGTATTTTACAGGGTTTCCTACAAAGGCCAGGTACATGGCATAAGAAAGAATGAAAAGCTTTTAAATTCATGCTGGAAAAATATAACCTTGAAACCATAAGCGAAAAATATTAGTGTAAAAATCTATAGGTGATCTCACTTATGAATATAGATGACAAATTCTTAAATATATCAGTAAATTGAATTTTACAATGTGCTAAAAAGAATATATTATGCAAGATAAGATTCCTTTGAAGAATGTGAAGACAATTCAGTGTAAACAATTATATTAATATAATCCATTACACTTGCAGAAATGAGACAATTAGCCTAAACTATTTGATACAACTCTATAGCCACTAATGATTTTTAAAAAGACTATTACCTGTCTAGAAATAGAACGAAAACATCCTTACCTTGACAATATGTGTTACAGTCTAACAGTATTTTCCACCAAACATCATACTTAATGATGAAACATGAAAAAGTATTTCCATTAAAATCAGGAACAAAACATTCATACCAGCTGTTACTACTTAGCACACTACTGTTATTGATAACAAATTACTTGTAACATGTCACAAAAGATAAAACATATGTGTTCATCACTGTATTAGGAAGCCACAGAAGTTCTTATGTCCATATCTGAATATTAATTTCAAAAATATTAACTAAAAATTGCCAAAGGTGGCATATTTAACAAATATAAACAAATTCCATAAAAGATCGCTGAATACTATTTGTTTGTGTGTGCTCAATATTAGAAAGTGCACTACAATTTGGAGGGTTAGAGAAGAAGTGTTAATTTTTTTGTCTTCCAAATCAGTTTGTCTTCCCAATTACTATTGAGCACTTTAAAATATATTAAATATTGTTGGAAGCTGCTGGAGTTGGGGAAGTAAAAGAAAAACTTGGTTAACTCAAAAAGCATATCACTTTGTTGGGGAGTGGACAGAGAAAAAGGCAACATTAATATATTGTGAGCAGAGCCATGACAGCCATGTAATAATGTGCGAGAGGGTTATGAGGAGGGAACCGAAATAAACTGAGGGGAGCAGGGGAGGTTTCACAGAAGAGCTGATGTCTAACAATGAGAACACTAATGGAAAAAATGGAGGTTGGATACTTGCCTTGCCATCATACTGAAGAGAGTAGAGGTGATATACACAAAACTCCTAAGAGAATAATTGGCACTGGAAATATTTAACAAATCGTTTGTATTTATTATTATTATTATATAATTTTTACCTTGAAGAAATGAGGTAAGTTCTAGAAACAGACACTAAGTTTACAAAACAAAGAGATCATAGGAGAATGCTGTGGGTTTGTGGAATGGCAAGTGGCTCATTATCGTCTGAGAGCAGGGCAACTGTTAGACAAATGAAAGGAGATGGAGCCAGTGAGTCAGGCAATGCGTAGATGAAGAAATACCTTGTAGGCCATGTTTTTGAACCCCATTTTAAAGAAACTTGCAAACTATTGCAATATCAAACATTACTAATAATATTTTTTAAGTCCTCATGTTGATTGGTGTACAATGAGTACTATAGATGCCATTTGCTGTCATTTGAGAACTTAAGTTCTAACACAAATTACTCTGTCTTTTACTGTGCATAAGCACTTCAGTTGTGTGCCAAGCTAAACAGTGCTAATGCATTTTTACTATTTTAACCCCTATTTAAATCTTAGGTGTAGAATTTGAACTTGAACATTTAGATATTATATTTACTAAATCTTCATAAAATTAAACTATAATTTACACTAAAATTTAGAATCTAAATATAATTTCTATTACTTAATTTTTTAAAAATGTATGACTTGACAGATTTTTCAGATAAGGAAATACTGAAAAGTGCTGTATAGTAAAATATTAATTAACTGCAATTAAGATTTCTAAATCTTTCCAAGTCTGGACATGAAAGAGTCTTTGGGTGGAAAGCCTCCAAATTGCTGAAACCTTTGTCACCTAGGTTAGAGAAAAAAAAATAATCCCCAAAATAGTCAAATTATAAATTTACTGTTTTATGCCTGTCTTCCCATTTGCTCTGGTGATATTTCAGCATTCGTCAAAAGACTTACAAATGGCTGTTGAAGTCCTCAAGCTTTTGCTCACTCAGATTTGTTCTTCTGACATATGGCATCTAACGGTTTTTTCTCTCCAGACTCAAATCAACATGGGGACATCTCTGATATTTTTGATGCCATGGAAGGGGATATACTCTTTATTAAAGCAATGATTAAAGGTACCAAAACACAATTTTTATTTTTCATTGCTGTCTGCAGGAAGCACAGTCTCTTTCTTTCCTTTAGTGTAGAATCCTCTGGCACCACCTTCAACATTGCTGAATTGACCGCATGGTTGACACCATTGCTTTTGAAGTCTTCACAGTGTCCCGTGAAAATCTTCATTCAAGATTAAGGCATGAATTATGGAATCTCACCTGAAAGTCATGTTTTGTGATAGCATGTTGTATTGAGAGTTGCCCATTCTCTCTGACCACTACCTACTTACCTTAATCCATACTTTCGCCTGTTCATACTCTTTTTTAGGTTGACTTTTTTTCGTTCAGTAGTAATAAAATACCCAAGTGCAGCCATTGAAGAAAACCAGTTAGTCATCTTTCATTTACATTCTGGTATTAACAAACAAAACAAACAAAGAAACAAAAAATTCTTCATTGATCAGTAGAAAAGTTCTAGAGCTTCCAGAAAAAGAAGGAAAACAGAGAGAATATGTAAATTCAAGGACAGTACCCAATACTCAAAATCTTGGACAAACAGCAGATTTTTATAGGAAAATAAATATAAAATATCAGCCATTCTTGAAATCTATGAGTAGAGAGAGAATTAGGAAGCATATGGAGAAAAATGGAGAAAAATAGGAGCATGGAGCAGTTGGGATCTGTGGACTCAGGGGAAAGAGCAGCACTAACTAGAAGCTGCCAGACACAAGGAATGACTTTCAGTAAGTTAGTCACCCACTCAGTAAGTTAGTCAGTCAATATATGTACCAACAGGTATGAAGGGATTGTGCAAAAATCAAATCTCCAACCTGAAATTGCTCAAGCCTGTTTTGGGAAAGTGTGCTGGATTAAATATTAACTTTTTTTAAAGACCAGCATAATATATCCTTTCCCACCTTCAATGTACATGTTTGAAAACCAGTAACTGTATGTTTGCATCTTGAAAGGACATGACTGTGAAGTATGCATGAGTGAGAGAGTGGGGACAAACTAGTGCAGAGAGAGAGGAAGAGAGATGGGCGAGAGAGAACAGATAGTTCTAACCTATCTTTTACAAAATCTCATCAGATGTTATAATAACGAAAAGGACAGAAACATAACTTATTACTCGTATTGATAAGAAATAACTATTTGCTTTTAATTGTTCATATGGTCAAACATAATTGTGCTCCTATATCCCAAGGATTTAAAAATCCTAAAATTAAAAATAAAATATCCCTGAATTTGTTTCTCAGGAAAAATGCTCAATGATATTTCATGAAATAGAGACAATGAAAAGTAAAACAGTCACTTATCAAGCAAAAATAAGAACATTGAATACAGACCTTGGAGAAAAATTACAGGAAAAGCAAAATTATGATAAGATACTTGACAATTTGAAGTAAGTACTTAAATTGTATCAAAATATTAAATGTTTATTATTTATAAAAGACAAAATAAAATGTCCACATTTAAAATGATCCATATTTTCTATCATAGTTCAATGTGCTATTTGATAATTTTGGTTTAAAAACAAAATCATAAATTGCTTTTATTTTTTGTTGCTCCACTAGGTTTATTTTAATTTGTATAACTGGGACTGCTTCTCTTTTTCCAAGTATAAGAGCTTTTATTTCTTATGAAATTAACAAGCATTCCTAAGAATTTTAGTATTTGTCACTTACATGACATGGTTGATAACATATAGATTTTCACTCAAACATTTTTGGTAAGTTTTGAGGTGAGAGGTTAGTAATAGCTGTTCTACAAAACCTCATGTAATTTATTCAAAAGCCTCTTGTCCAGTTCCCTCATTAGTCAGGGCCCTCTGTGACAAAGGTTGGTAAAGCCTGTCTCCTAAAGAATGATCATGCTCTAAGAGATTTAGCGTATCCATAGACTCTCAGCTAGAGCTTAAATATTCTTCATTTTCTCCTCTTGGTTGTTATTTCCCATTGTGCAATACTTTAAGAACGGCGCTTAGAGGGCTATTGAAGGAATATGCATTGGTTGCGTTTAGGAATTATCCTTGGATTTATATATAGAAGGCTAATACAGCATTAGTAAAATTATACCACTCAAGAGGAACAGAGGTACACTTATGCACAGCCTAATACCATATACCTTAATGGAGTCAAGTCAATACACTCAACAAGTATTTGTTTAGCTCTTACCATAAGGTAAAAACTTATTTTCCAAATGATCATATAGCTTTATCTGAAAAAGACTAAGTCATATTCAGTATATCATATAAGAAAGCAAGGAAACATACGGTATACTTCAAAAGATATTTATCTACATTGTTTATTATGTATAAGAATATTTTGGGGCACAACAGTATAAGCTTAAAATTATATAATTCATATTAAGTTCATAAAGATCTAATTCATGAGCTGGAGATTTTTTTTCTTCAGGATTCTTACCATTTTAATCCTAACATTTTCTTCCATCCTGTGGCTGGATTATATTGCTCTTGAGACAGAAGCGGTCACCATGTCCCAGTAGAGAAGGAAAACCTGACAAAATCTGCCTTTCCACAGGAAAAGGAGAAAAAGAATAGATGGCACTGTGGTATTGCTTACAAATCTATTAATTAACAGAGATGATGTCAAGTAATATTTAAAGCTGTCATTAATTATCTTCCTAATATGCCAGACACTTTGCAGGAAATCTATGCACCTTATCTCATCCAGCTCTAACAATGAATTCTTAAATTTGTTATAACATTCCCATGCAATTGCTGAGTAAACAGAAGTTCAAGCAAATTAAATGATTGCCTTAAGATCGCACTGATAATTAGTGGTAGAACTAGCTCCAGATTTAGTCCATCCTGTTTCAAAGTGCGTTATTGCAACTGCCCATTTCGAGTCCCTAAACTAGGACTGGAATGGAAGATTATTGCAGATAATCATGCACAATATGTGTAAAGTCATGTACTGCAAAACAATGTTTTAGTCAGTGACTCCATGTACAACAGTGGTGTCATAAACTTATAATAGGAGCTGAGAAATTCCTATTGTCCAGTGACATTGTAGCTGTCACTAATGTCTAGCATAGCACATTACTTGTGTTTTTGGTAAGGCTGGTATAAACAAACCTACTGTGTTGCCAGTCATATAAAAGTATAGCACATACTGTTATGAGCATTACATAATACTTGATAATGAAAATAAATGACTATGTTACTGGTTTATGTATTTATTATAGCATACTTTTAATTGTTATTTTAGAGTGTACTCTCTCTACTTATAAAACAAAGTTTGCTGTAAAAAAGTATGCCATCTTCGCTGACAGCATCCTCATACATCTTCTGTTTATCATCTCTCTTGATTGTATCATTTTCTCTTGTACTTGATTTGACCTCCTGTTGTTTTATACAGTGGCATGCTGTAGAGGTTGTAGGGGCAACAGGCTATACCATCTGGCCTAGGTGTGTAGTAGGCTATACCATCTAGCTTTGTGTAAGTGCACTATATAATGTTCACACGATGACAACATCAGCATCACCTAACAACATATTTCTCAGAGCATATCACATTGTTAAGTGGCACATGACTGTATTAGGAATAAACTATTGGTACTTTCAATAGGTGACTGTGTCAAGTTAATCATAATTTATTAAGAACCCATAGTGTGCCTAGTGCCAAGCACCAGAACAGCAAAGAAATATGAAGTGGGAAAGTAGATCTTTATGTGTCTAAAGATATTTTTAGAGAGGCAAACCTTGCATATGCAAAACAACTGAAATATGTTGATAAAAATAATAGTTGTCAAGGCTACTCTTGGCTCTCATTAATTTTTACAACTGTTTCTTAACTAGAATGTGAAAGGATCCAAACCCAGACATACAAGGACTCCAGTGTTTGTTCTTTTTATCACTATGAGAAAAGAAACACTATTTTCATGCATACATATACATATAAACATACATAGTATACATAATACATATAAAATTAATACAATGCTATATTGAATACAATCTAATATTAAAATACGTAGTATAGAGAATAAAGTATATGAGATCAAGAAATAGTGATGTTCGCTGGGAGCAAGGATGAGAGTTTTGTCTTTGGTCATACCCGCTCTACTGTGTGAATTTCATTGGTTCCCTATGCTTCAGAATGTCAGTATTAGGGAATACTTACATAGGACATTACATAAGAATTTTGGATGTTGTTTGTGTAAATGATAACGTGGAAAAAACAAGGGCAAGACAGATGAAAATAAAGGACCTCATTCCATTTAGCAGGAAAGGCTCACATGTAAAAATGTGAATAAAGAGTCATGGTTTCAAATTTACTGCTAACAGTCATAGTGGAGAGAGAAAAAAAATGAATATTTTAATGTTGAACTGCTGAATCAAACAGAGCCAGACAGAACTGGATGTGAATTGTCTGTCATTTACTAATTAGCTTACACAAGCTAATTATGTTGAAGTTTAGGTTCCTCATCTGTGAATTGCTGTAATAATTATTCTCCCATAGGGTTGTGGTTATATTAAATGAGATATTACATTCAAAGCACTTTAACATTTTAGCCCCTCAAAAATTTTAGTCCTGCTGCCTTTATAGCTAACTGTGCAAATGATTCAATTTTCTATGCCAGTAGAGATGAAAACGGGTGTGGGTAAAAGATTGTGCTGAGCTTTTGCAGCTCTGCTTATTCTGGTTCTGGGTTGCTTATCAGCTCTGGAAATTATTTCTCAAGCGTTTTTATTTTTGCATTATTGTTTTAACTACTTTTCAATGCTTCTTCTACTACTACTATTGTTTTCTTACATTTCCACTGATTTCAGCCTAAAAATTATTTTACCTTTTTGTCAAGATGTACTTAGTTGCATGACAAAATACACAGACATGTACATGCATGCATGCACATACATGCTCACACAAACACATTTGCTTACCAGCTTAAACAACAGATGATATATCATGTATAACAGGAGGCTATGGGTAAGGTAAGCTGCAAGATTGGTTGATTCAGCAGCAACTCAGCACTACATACTCATTTTTTCTCTCTCCACTATAACTTTGTCATCGAATTTGAAAACATGACTCTTTGTTTACATTTAATGGTTGTGAATCTCTTCTACATGGAATTACATCCTTGCCTTGCATCTTATTGGGCTATCTTAATATATATATTTACTCCTGGATAATTAGCCACAAGGCTGGTTGGCTTAATCTAATCAGAATGTATCTTTGGACTTACAAGCTGTATGGAGAAGGGGTTCTTTTGGAATGCCAGCCAAACAGAGGCATGGTGAGTCAACATCCAAAAGAATCCCCTGAATTTCTCCAGAGATTTTCTTGCACCTAGATCACTTAGATGTAACTCTATGGAGATTATAGAAGAGACTAGGAAATTTTTCCGAAGCCCTCCAGTTCTAAGATTTTTCAATATTGGGTCTTTAAAAATGTATCATAAGTATATTTTAGGAAATAAAATATAAATTTATTAACAGTGATTTCAATTCTTTTTTAATAGGGAAAATTTTTTTACTATAAGATTTAAAAAGGAACATATACAAGCTATTTATGATCATCTCCTAAGTGAGAAGAAAGTCTATGAAGAGAGGCTCAATGAAGAAGAACAGAGATACAGAACTCTTGTTACCATGAGGCAAAAAACTCTGGCAGATATTAAAGTGAGTATTATTTTTTGACTGTTTTAGAATGGAGGAAATGCAGGAATAGTCAAAGTAGCAGAGAGATTGAAGCACTCATTTTTCATCCTGAAGTAGCAAAGATGTTTAAATTTTAAAAATGAATCTGTTAGCATAATAAATATAACTTTACATTTTTCCTTTTAAGTAATTATATTCATACAATATGTACTTTCCAATGTATTTTATGTGCACCCTACTTTTGTTATTGTAATTTATTTAATTTGGAAGGCTATTTAAGAGTATAAGAAGGTGGAGGGATTGAGCAAGAAGGAAAAAGGACTCATGGACACCAATGCAGGACTGTGGGGGTGGGGAGAAGGTATAGGGAAACTAAATGGTAATGGGAAAAATACAATAAAAATTAAAAATGAAAAAAAGAACTTACACAACTTAACACCAAAAAAACCCCCCAAAAACCAAAAACCCCCAAGAAACAACAAGAAATCCAATTTAAAAAATGGGCAGAGGATCGGAATAGATACTTCTTCAAAGAGGATATGCAGATGGCCAATTGACATATGAAAGGACACTCAGTGTCACTAATCATTAGAGAAATGCAAATTTAAACCACAGTGAGATATCACCTGACTCCTGCAGAAAGGCTACCATCAATAAATCAAAAACAAGTGTTGACGAGGCTGTGGAGAAAAGGGAACCTAGGGCACTGTTGGTGGGATTGCAAATTGGTGCAGTTACTGTTTTGAACAGTATGGAGGTTCCTCAAAAAGTTAAAAATAGAACTAAAACACCCTTATGGCCCAGCAATTCCACTTCCAGGTATTTATCTAAAGAAATCCTAAACACTAACTCAAAAAGATATATGGACCCTTATGTTCATTGCAGTGTTACTTTCAACAGCCAAAGTATGGAAACAACCTGAGCACCCATCAACAGATGGTTGGATAAAGAAGATATGGTACATATATAAATGGAATATTACTCAGGTATAAAAAAAGAAAGAAATTTTACCATTTGAGACACATTGATGAACCTAGAGGGTGTTAAGCTAGGTGAATTAAGTCAGACAGAGAAGGACAAATACCATATGATTTCACTTATATGTGGAATCTAAAGAACAAAATGAATGAACAAACAAAACAACCAGACATATTAATAGATACAAAGAACAGACTGATGGTTTTCTGATGAGAGAGGGGTTTTGGGGCAGGGTGGAAAAATTGAAGGGATTAAGAACTACAGATTGGTAGTTAAAAGATAGTCAGGGAGGTAAAGTACAGCATAGGGAATATAGCCAATAATATTGTAATAACTATGTATGGTGCCAGGTGGTTACTAGACTTATTGGGGGATCACTTCATAAATTATATAGATGTCTAACCACTATACTATACACTTCAAACTAATGTAAAATAATACTTACTGTCAACTATAATTTAAAGAAAAAAATATAGATTATATTTATTCCAGAGCCATTTTTAAATTTCTAAGGGGAGATGTTAGAATATTTATATTTTGTTTCTGAATAAACATACTTCGAATGTTTATTAACCACTTGTTTGAAAAATGAGAATATTTTGTGTTCTTTTTCTTTAGAAACATTTTGCATATGCTTTAATTGCACTTACTAGTTAGAAACAGGGAAATCATGTGAAACAATATATCTTTTCAGATCTGAATTTTTATTAAGTTTCATAAAGATATACATATTAAAATTTTATATAGATATGACTAAGTGATATAGATTAAGTGATATATATTAATTAAGTAATTATTATCCTATTTTACATTTTCACATTTAATTGTAATAATAAATGCCATGGTTTTTTCAATATATTTATATTACTTATTTCTGAGAGATGCATGGGTATATCATAATATACTTTTATCAGCTATTTTTGATCCTGATATTTATATATTCAATCACTATATATATTTAATATACTCAATTGCTTTTATTTATGTTAACAAGACACTGATAATATGTTTCTTAAAAGATTATTTAGGATAGCTATACATTGAATAAACAGGTATGTGAGTGAATGAACATACGGTTTTTATTGCTAGCTCTGGGTCTCTCGTATAGGATAAATATTAATAAAATAACAGTACTTTTAGTAATAATGGTGCTAAATAACATTCTTCCATTTAAAATTTAGCCATTACATAGAAAAAGGTTTTGTTTTGTTTCGTTGGCCTAAAAATAAGAAAATAATTGGTGCCATCTAGTGGCAATAAATGATGCCTCCTCTTGGAGGAGTTGGAGCTTTGATGGTTGAATCTCCGAGATGGGATGTATAAATGGCTGGGAAAGCTTAGGCTCAAATGCACCCGTCAAAGCAAGAAGGCTTAAGTTATTTACTGACAAGCATCATTCCCCGCCTCGTATTTTATCACAGCAGTAGAATTAGTTGTTTGAATTCAACCACATTTTCCAATCGTACTGGTGCTGAGAACACAGTGGGATCTCAATAATCATTTATTGACTAGCATTTCAACACTTTAATGGAACAATAATAATTAGTGAAATGGCAAAATATGGTCAGCAGGAGAGAGACAAAGAAAAAGCCCTGTATAACTAGCCTCTCAATAATTGAGATTTGTACTTCTTTTCATCCCGAAGCCTGCCTCTGTCTTCTCATTCTGAAGCGTACCTTGGATGCATTACATGCTCTCATGGTTTGGTTTGGTTTTGTTTTCCTTTAGCTCTAATCTCTATATGAGCTTGTTTTTTTTAAATTAATTTTTACTTGTTTATATTTTATTTTCTAAAATACTCTTATGGTACATTTTAAAAGACACAAAATCCTGCTATGAGGCTAGTAGAGCTTTCTGTCACTGTCTCTATCCTAGAAGCTCAGAACTAAACCTGGCACAAGGCAAGCACTCAATCAATACTTGTTGAATAACTGAATGAATAAGTGGGTAAACATATTCTTATTTGGTGATTTTGATGTCAACACGCATGATAGTGGCTAAAAGCAGCAGCCTGTCAGAGATACTTTGCACAGTGCACCAGCCTGACGCTTCAGTGAGTCTTCATGCTGTGCAGAAGCCGACTCCCATTCACTCTCTGTTCTTGATGATACGTGAGAAATTTACTGTTCAGTCTGTTCCCTCTAGGTGAAAATGGTTAAATTCCCTATTGCTTCCTAGCAATTAAAGGATTCTGCTAAATATTTCAATAATGCTTCTCAAGTAACCCAGAATTTATGTGAAATTGTCTCTTTTCAGTGCTTGGCTAGCATTTGTTATGCATTCATCTTATGTGATCAGAGGCATAGAGTTTGAACATGCACAGTTTAGAGACTGATGTATCTCATCATTAGTGACACTGTTTAGGATCAGTTACCAGTATTAAAGAGTAGAAAGACAAATTGATTCTTTATAGAAAACCTATTCTCACCCTGTTTAGAAATTGGATGAGATAAAAAATGTGTAATATGTATGTGATGAAAAGCATTGCCATAAAGAAATGTCTTTTTAAACTGATTGGTATTAGGTGGGGGGTGGTGGGGGGCAGAGAGAGAGAAACCTCAACTTGTAGTTCCACTTAGTTACGCATTCATTGGTTGATTCTCATATGTGCCCTGACCTGGATCAAACCCACAACCTTGGCATACAATCAGGGCAGTGCTCTAACCAACTGAGCTATCTGGCCAGGGCCAAAGAAACAAGTCTTATTAGATATCATTATATGTGTGATGTTACTGTTCTGGGGGTGTCCCATCTAGGCTAAAGACTTGATCACAATTATGGATCATATGAAGGAAATATTTAATGTAAGACTTTGTAAAAGCCACAGTGGGATTAAGTGAGGACTGAGAAAACATACCACAGAATTAGAAACATAAAATCTAATAAAATAGTTTAATATAAATATATACAAACTTTAGATAACATATAATGTGGTCCTGGAGTTAATAGTAGTTGTTTTCAGTAGACAATTCATGTCAGGTATCTTTAAATGACAGATTTTTTTTAATGTCATGGAGTTTTTACTGCCTATAATTTGTAATTGTAGTTGCTTAGGATTAAAATTTCAGTATAGCACTTAAATATATTAAGCAAAATACTAACAGATAGGAAGGGAGAAATAGACAAAAATACAATAACAGTAGGGGACCTCAGTATCTCAGTTTCAACAATGGATAAATCATCTAAGCAGAAAATCAATAGGGAAACATTGGACTTGAACTACACTTTAGAATGAAACAGACATATATAGAATATTCCATCCAACAGCAGTAGAAGACACATTCCTCTTAAGCACACACAGAATATATGTCTAGAATAGACATATATTAGCTCACAAAACTGAAATTAAAAAATTGAAGAAGATTGAAATTATACCATATATCTTCCAACCACAATTGTGTGCAACTAGAAATTAATTATAGGACAAAAATAGAAAATTCTCAAATATGTGGAATGTATACTCCCAGCCAATGAATGTAGAGTCTGCAGAGCCCACCCCTACCATTCAACAAGCTGAATTTTAGAAAAATGCTGAAATATAATGTAAAAACTGTATACCCAGATTCTGTCTTCAGATGTTCTCTAACACTTTTCTTTAAAGCTTTCATGGGCTCCCATGGCTTCAACTGACAAATTGGCTGATTCACTAATCTTCATTTCCACTCCTCCCAAATTCTATCTGTGCATGGTGGATTCTTAGGTACTTGTTTCCTCTTATATAGTCTTTATCATGCCCCCTAAATCATCATCTAACAAAGCCAGTCATCAAAAAAAATTTTTTTATAAACACCACCATATTTTTTTAGTCACCTAGTAACATACCACCTTATATATATTTTGTTCGTTTATTTGCATACCACACCCAGTTTGACATCAGCCTCTACTAAGTCCATAATCCTCATTCCTTCTCACCACTTCTCTTTAATTACAAAAGCACTTTCTTGTAATGTATTTGCAACTTGTACTTTCATTTAAATTCAATTAATCTTACAGAATGCTGTCTAATTGATTTTTTCTACAGCCTACCTCTAACCACATTGTAC